AAAAAAAAAAAAAAAAAAAAAGAAAAAGGATATTCTAGGATCTGTACGATATTCTAGTCCTGCTGTCATCGTCACGCATCCCTGTTGTGTTTGTATCATATACGTACGCGACTGTAATAAAAATGCGAATTTTTTTTCTAATCATTCCCATAACTTTCCCTACTACCCTTTATTAATTCAATTTCCCTTATCAAACTTCCCCCAAGTTTTTCATCAATCAATCTTATATCATTCATACATCGTCACGATAAAAACAAGTGTATCAATTATTTCGTAGGATGATTTAAAAAAAAAGAAAAAATAATTATTTTGTTTGTTCATTTAAATCTTTAGTATCACCAAATCATAGTTTAACCCTTTCGCCATTTTAGGTACCGTAGCGAAAGGTTTAAGAATGATAAAATGAACAAACAAAATAAAACTACTATATACTAAGATTATTATCTTCATTTTCTTTTTCTTTTTTATTTTATTTGATTTCGTTAGATGCACAAACCCAAACGCAATCATGAGAATTCATTAGAAAAAGGATAAAAAAAAAAAAAACAAAGAAATGATAAGGAGGAAAGAACCATAATCCTTCTTCGTGCTGAAGAAGGATTATAGGAAATAGCTGGAATAGTAGGTACGTTTAATAGTATTCTTTTTAAGTTGAGTAACCTTAGAAGAATTCCAGGAATAAGAGGAGGATATTATAGCGCAGAAACAATTCTCGTGCCAACGTGCAATAGTAATCGGAATTTCCGTAAAATATGCGCCACGCTGTCGTTTATTTCGAAACATTTGTAGGGTACCTCTTCTTCTCCCCTTAATTCCTCCTCCTCCTATCCTACCCACTCATACCCCTTTCCCGTTGTTCTTCAGAAGGTAGTAACCTTTTAGGTATCCACTTTTGAACGGATCGCTGAATTTCACATAAATTTTCCAGCTTTGTCTCGAACGAAATGTTTTCCGTCCGTTTTATCGTATTTCCTTGCAATTAACTACCACCAAAGTGGCACGAAACAAATCCACGGAAAGGTTAATTCATCGTGTCTCGAATCCACGACAATCAACAGGCAATTACTACTACCTTATACCTTTTATCTATTTTGTGATTATATACTTTAATACGATTTTCAAATAGATACTTTGTTTATTTGAAAAATTTGTATGAAGAAAAAAAAAAAAAAAGAACAAAGAAAAATTATTAGATATATATTATTCTTCAATTTATATAAACGCACGAAGGAAAGGTATAATATTTATTTCATTATTATTTATTTATATTAATATATATATATATATATTTTTATTTTTATTCTCGATAATATTTGATAATTCTATTTTAATAATTATTAATTATATTTTTTTTATAATTATATATAATATATATTATATGTAATATATTATATTTTATTATATTAATTATTAATATTATTAATATAATAAATTATTAATTAATAATATAATTTATTAATATTATATAATATATAAATTAAATAATAAAATAACATTAAATAATATAAAATATTATATATAATACTATATTATATATATATAATTATAAATCTATTTTAATAATTGATATTCTATTGAAATAATTTATTTTTATTAAATTTTTTCATTAAATTCTATTTCAAAAAAAAAAACAATAAATAAATAAATCAACATTCACAATGAAGATTTGACGTGAAAAATGTTTTACGAAAATTCACTTGACACTTTGGGTAAGTTAATAATAAATTACCTCACACACACACACACACACACACATACATACATAACCGTACTTATAAACGGATATTTATACTAAAAAGAAATAAAACGTATAACAATATTAATCTTTAACCGGATTAAAAGATCAATCAACTTATAAACCATGAAAACCATCAAAGATTTATACCAGGAAAATAAACCACAATTATCTGACGTGTCATTCGTACTTTATAATAATAATAATAATAATAATAATAATGATAATAATAATAAGAAGACGAGTAAATGCTAATCAACGATTATGATTTAAATGAAGCAAATATAATTGTATAATGCAAAATTCGTTTGTCATTAACTATTCTCTATATCACGATAATAATTACGAATTAATTAAGAATGAGAAAATAGAACTACCAACAACGATCTTTTACACAAACGTACATTTTAATCAACATGAACTCGAGTAAACCGTAATAGTTCTTTGACTGAATCTGAATTACATACTCGTGTTGATATGAAACATTCTATCTATCTATCTCTCTCTCTCTCTCTCTCTCTCTCTCTCTCTTTCTCTCTTTATCTTTTTGCAATTTATCATTCCCAGTTATAATTACACGTTATACGATTTCATATGAAAAAACAAAGAGCAAAAAAAAGAAATTTTACTCTTCATCTTTATTTAATTTTTTTTTTTTACATTCAACTTAATTTTATACGAAGGTATGTGAAAAAAAAAGAAAAAAAATTAATAATCAACAAAACTTTGGAAGAAGACAAATTCATCGGTTGAAAGAGAATTGTATTATTTTTTATTTGTATCCATAAAATAAAATAAAAAGAAAAAAGAAAGAGATCTCAAACGTAACCATAAAACGTAATACGAAAGGAAGTATGTATCGTCGAAGGTTGAAAATTGAAGTGACGATGTTGAGGTAATTTATTTTCTTGGCAAACTTATGTTAGACGATCGGTATTCACTATGATGAAGTTGCACGTATAAAAAGAAAAAAGGAAAGAGAAAACAAAAAAAAGAAGACGAGGCAACAGCATTGACGAAATAAGGGATGGTAAGTCGATGGGAGAAGTATACTGTATGGATGGTGGAAAAAGGATGAAGCAAGGGAAATACCTAGCAAGTACTATACTAACGGAACGATGAACCCTGTAGGTTATGAAATATGCATTGCCATGCACCCTATCGTTGTCGAGTACAAACTCAAAGTGGTTGTAGAGGAAAAAGGGTGAAGGATATATAAGAGACAAACGACTGAAAAAGATAGATAAAGTGAGAAAGAGAGAGAAAGAGAGAGAGAGAGAGAAGGGAGTAAAGGGAGGAAAGGGTTAGGAAGGTTGGAAGAAGAAGAAGAAAGATGTAGAGAGACAACGTTAAGCGGTTTTCTCCTATGTACAAGAAGAGGATGATACGAAAGGTAATTGTAAGGAAACACGAGGAAGGAAGGAAGGAAGGAAGGAAGGGTTTGGAAGGGTTTGGAAGGGTTTGGAAGGGTTTGAGTTTACGATAGAACACGGTTTACAAGACTTAGAATGAGGAAGGTAGGAAGAGACCACAAGGCGCTTAATTTCACGAGCGTGCCGAGAAATTCAAAATCTTCTTCCGGTCGGTTGCATCAGTTGCTTGGTTACTTACTTACTTACTTGCATTGGTTTACGAAAAGTAGGAAAGTCTTAACGGGATTAATATGATATTTATATATATATATATATATTTTGTTTTACTAAATAATCTTGAACTTTAATATATAAACAGGTGTATATAGAATAATATTATAATATTATTTTATATATAATATTATATTTAATATAATAATATTATAATTTATATTAATATTATATAATATTTAATTATATATAATATACAATATTATATATATATAATTAAATTATTAATAATAAAATTATTATTATATTATAATTT